CCGTTTTGTTCGGAGAGAAAAATTACAGAAATAGAAATCTGTGGACTATCCGTGCTGTATCCGAGGGCAACAGCGTATGTCACAGCAAAGTTTTAATGAAATGGAATAGCAAGACATAAGCACGGAATACAGACTTTTTTGCTATAGATGTGTACGGTAATTTTTCTGTATGGAATAAATTGTTGTATTAGTTCTATCTTAATCGTATTCGTAAGTGCGCCACATGGGAAATAAAATTCAGATCTTCTTTGACAGCGTTTTTCCACTCGTGTTGTATTTGAAGTTCTGAGGTATTACTAGGCGCACAACGTCTGCAGCGTCATAGCACAGGTTCACCACCATCTATAATAACAACGCGACGTCAAATATTAACTTGAACATTAATGCCTGCCGACATGTAACTTGAACAGTGTCTTTCCTCGCTTTAACTCATGAATATTGTCAAAAATAATTTATTCTTAATTATTCAAATTAACGATTTGTGATATTCTTAATTTATTATATTCATTCTTAATTTATATCGATATGATATAAATATCATATCAATATAGATGCGGCTATAAATGTGAACATTTTGATATTAGGTTATTATGAGTAGGCACAACTTACAATTTTCGTAACCAAGTTTCGCAATGTTGCATAAGCATGCTAGCACGGTAATGGGAAGCATTTTTTTGCCAAACAAATCTAGTCAAGTTTCTCCACAACACAGAAACAACAACTAAAAAAGACGGTGTACAAATTGCAAAAGCCTGCGGTCCTAATTAGTTTTTTGAAGCTTGGAGCGAATCGACGGTTTTCCCTTCCTCTGAGCGAACGATTTCCTCTTCAAAGCAGGTTCACCCGTCGCAAAAATCCTACCTAATACAGTATATTCCTCTTCCGGTGAACATTTGCGTCGTCTTTGCGTTCCCACATGTGATACACTCGTATATATATATATATATATACGCTTCCAGTTTAATGCAATTTAACAAGCGCGCTCTGCCTCCATATTTTTTTCGTTAGTTTTTTAAGACTAAAAATTTAAGCGATTTGATGCGTCGTCGACAAGTGTGCGTTCAACCTAGGGTCTGTACCGCTGCTATTATGGTCAAGGACGAAGAAAATTCTTCGTCCGTCTTCTCAAAGGCCTTAATTTCCAGTGCCTACCGTTTTCCTCTCTCCCACGGTTCGTGTTTTTCTTCCATCTGCGCGTGCTGGCTACGGTCCTTATCCGCAAGAACCTAACGGAATTATGGCCCGATGGACAAGCAAGCATAAAGGAACTACAGGCAGGAAGGCAGTAGAAAGACGGATAAGTTGTGCCTTGAAACGCTTTGTAACTCGCTTCCGGGACTCTGAGCTTAAAGAGTAAAATCTTGAGCTTGACCAAGAAGGCGGAGATCGACCTGCTGGCGGCCCTGGCCGGCGCTGTTCTCTCCTGTTGCAATGTGGTCAGACTGTTGCGCTGACTGGCAGGAGAGGCCCAAGTGGCCTTTCTGCCTCTTTACTCACTCTCAGCCCTATGAATTCGATGTGAGCGAACAAGAAAGGCTAAGTGGACGATTACAACGTGTGTTTAGGGGCCGAGGTCAAAAGGAAGGATGGGGGGGGGGAGGGGTATGTCATCGAAGTCATGTCATCGGGAAGCCGGCGCTTCCGGAACGGTCAATTCATATTATGAAAATAGGAAACGTTTTAAAAATAGGTACGTCGTTTTTGTTAGTGCTACCGCTGACCGTGTCATATCCACGCCGTCCTTGTAAATACCGCTATAGTCCATTTAAAGACTGTAGTGGCGGATGGGTCTGTAGAAGCAGGAGAAGTATTACATAAAGACTTAAGCCGGATAGTCAGCCAGGGCTGAATATTGTTGCGAAAGTCGCGTTTCCTGTCAATAAAGATACATACTTCTCTCGATCTCCAGATTGCCCCCATATCGACTAGTGACTTCGAGTAAGGTAACATCGATCGCTAGAAGCCGAAGTGAGTTGCCGACAGGTGTTGTTTAATCGACTGGTGATCAAGGGACGGTGAAAGAGGATGCAATGATGAACTGATTGCGTCTTCATTTTTTTTTTCGCCTAATCCGACAAATATCATCGTCGCTGTAACAATCTACACATGCCCAGTGCTACGGTTATCCTATCGGCTGTTCAAACGACTTTTCCCTGATGAGTTATCGGGTGCATCAAGGTCAGCCGACGTCAGGGCTTACAGTTAGTCTTGAGGATCATGTACCTATAAGCGTATATTATACGTCCACCTATTACAATTATAGAAGAACACAGTGTGCAGCAGTATCACCGCTATATCTGTCGCTTGTACCATAGCAGGCGTCGTCATTTCATTTTCGTCTTGATGAGCTCTCTCTCATGACGGCTCTCAATGATCGAGGCTTGCCGTCTGCCGTTGCTGAGAGCCAGGTGGGGTTCGTAAGTGAAATGTGACGAGTCGCGATCGTAATGCAGGTTATAGTGATGAAAACGATACCGACGACGATTAGAATTCTGCAAGGACAAAGACGAAATGGGTGCTAATGAAGGCTGCGCTGAAAAACAGGGGCGCAGGAGACGAAGGGCAACTCGCGCTGGTGGAAATGTATTGCTTGTGTACGATTTATTATTTGTTAATTGCAGATATCCTATTTTTGATCTTCTTTAGTTTGTTCATGTGCAGTTAAGAAAATTATCTGTTCACGCAACATTCGCAGCTCATTTATCATATGGAGTTCATGGGATCTACAGTATCGCCGATGCTGAGTCATAATAGATACGGTACTGGTATCATATGATAAAATACACAACATAAAAGGTATGCTAGTCATCGCCCGATTACGCGAGAAGTAATGGAAGCTGCTGGGAAAAGTTGACCGCCAGTCAGCCTAAAGCTATCCAGTCTAGGCGGAGTGCCGGAAGTAGACAGGAAACCCACTCGCAGTGACACCTAGTTAGTTAAAGAAAACACCTACGTATAGGGTATGTTTAAGGACGTGACAACGAAGACAAATGGCCTGGTGTTTGTTCCGAGGTCCTTTGAAACTGGAGGAGATCGTAGCTACATTAATAAGTCTATGGCGTCTTGTCGAATTCCGCTGCAGTTTTTATTTAGTCTTCACAGTGATAATGACGATGAAAGTTGCAGTGAAAATCTAAAGAAGACTAGAAAATCATTTTATTATTCACCATTAAACAAATCATAAAATTATGGTCTTTGGCTTTTCATTTGATTACAAGGGCTTCACCTCGATGGCAGTCGTTGCTACAGCTGCGGGGAAAGGGCCAGCTATTTATAGATTTATAAAAGATAGAACTAAAAATAGTATTATTACCAATTGTCAGATGGCCTCGACTTTGTTGCGGAGGCAAAAAATTACTTTGTCTTGCATTTGAAGGGAATTATTACTCTCAAGTTCCATTTAACGCTGTCAAACGATTGTGAAGATCATCAGTGAAACATATACTTGACTGGAATAACTTCCGTAGCAGAACGTATTCACTCTAACTAATTTAAACTAAATTTTATGTAAATCCGTTACTGAGCCACTTTATATTGTATTAGCTATACAACTGTTCAGATTTGACGAAACGTACCAATCATCGCATGGCGATTTTATGGGAGGTTTTTCGAATAACACCGTATATGTCACCCGTTTGTTGATAGGGCTCGATGAACGCTGCTAGAAATACATTGTTCTCTTCTACGCACTCAAATATGGCCTGAAACTTCGTTTACCGCCACATGTATCACTGAGTCTTCTTATAGCACATTTTACTCAAGTCTTCTGAGTCTTCAAGTGATTCTATGTATAATTATTGTCTACAAACAACATTTCCAATAGAGATGGCTTATCTGAATGACTGATTCGCAATTTTCTGCTAGTCCTAGTCTCAAACGACATACCTGAGTATCTCTCTTCGGGCGGACTCTAGGCGTGGTCACGGGTGGCAGTACACCTCATACGGATAAATTGTTTCAGTCTGAAACCGTTTTGGGCAACGATTGTTATTTGGCCGTTGAACGGCTGAATATTTATCAAATAGATTTTCTTCCTCTTCCTTATATGATAATATTATGCTGTCTTCCGATATGCATATAGTTATCTGGGTGGCTGAGATTTTATAGTGCCCTGGGAGTACGGAAGGGTGGCGAAAACGCATTAATAAGGGGCGTTGGGGGGGTAGATTCGGGTGGAGCACCAGCGCCCGTTAGTCATATGGCCGCTATGACAAATCCAGCGCATCAGATCCGAGCTGATCTTGCAAATGGGAGTACTCACCAGGTGAACATTTTTAATATTTATAATTCACCACGAAGATGAAAAGCCCTGTTTACTGTCTTACTATTTTCAGAGTGGTAAATTTACGCTTTTAACGGTTCATTCGCTTGTCACATAAAGAAGACAGCTGCGTTCTGAGATTCACTTGAGCTATTTACGGTTTTTCGTTTTAGCTGTTGGCAGATTTCAAGTATGAGGGGCGACGGAAGTATAATCCGTAACTTAATTTCTTCATAGTTTTCAAAATATTTTCTTTCCGTCGTTGCATCAGCAATAACTGACATACGGTAATCCTTTGAAGTCATCCACGATTCGATAATAGCATTGTCTTCGACCATATCCGAGAGCTATCAGATCAATAGACGGCATATATTTAATGTTCAGTGTCCTATGAACGTGTTCTGCTATGGGATTTTCAAACCCGTCTTTATGTAAATCCCTATATAAAAATAAAACAAGCAAATAAAAAAGGACATTTTTTCATTAACTGCTATAGATTCTTGTTAATGTAATACATGTGCCTGCTGTTAGCACTCTACATTAGGCTAACGAGGCTGATAGAGCGGATCGCTTTAGTATATATATGTGTTCATATCTCTGTAGATAAGGTTTTCAGTGAAAGAATTTTGAAGTAATGGTAATTAATGACCAACCTGTATAGACGCTAACACGTATTAATAAAACGTAAAATCTCCGTTTTCTAACCTGCCCCCGTGTCTGTTCATTATACTGTTTACAGATATGCCGTTTAAGCTATCGGTCGAAAATCACCATGAAATGTATCTGTTGTGTCGCCTGGTAAGTGACACGATTCAAGTAGGTAATGAAAGCATCAGGATCGATTCATCGAATCTGCGCTTTAAGAGGTTAGACCTGGCTGGAGGATACCTTAATACGACGAGTCCGTTCGTGAAGGAGATCAATAAGTCGGCCATTGCCTTCGTGAAGAATGACACCGAGGTGGATGATAGCGGGCCATACACTTGCGTAGCAGAGGCCGAAGGGAGATACTTTCCTGGCTGTACAGCCGAGGTGGAGATCGGCACTCGGCCTCAAAAAGTGCTCAACTTCTCGTGCATTGTGACCGCATTCCTGAATATGACGTGCAGTTGGACGAATCCTGACAATGGTAAAGTCCTAACAAACTACACCATTGAAGTGGTTCGAGGCTTGAATATGTTCAATAGATGGGTGTCCTGTCCGGCCAACCATACGACCGAAAATTCCTGCACGTGGACAACGGGATCAGATCCGTATTTCGAGAAGTACGCCTTATCCTTCATGTTTAGGGTAAATGGAACCAACAGCCTTGGCCACGAAAGCTGGAACTATATGTTTGATCATAATGCAATCCTGAAGCTCACTCCGGTCACTCATCTTAACCAAAGTAACTTGACGGAACGCGGAGTCACAATTACGTGGAAACAGCCTGCCGAAGCTCAGCATCGTAATGTACCCTATGGCAACGTGTCGCCTGAAAAGGTCATTTATCAGATCACCTTGCGCCGTCAAGGCGCTGAATATAAAATGACCGAAACGGAAGGGCCCGAACAAATCAGCTACGACAATCTGCTGCCTAACAAAGAGTACACAGTGGAGATTCGTTGCCATATGGAGAAGGCGACCAGGTTTGATCTCTATTCAGATCCGGCAATTCTTTCATTTAAAACACTAAAGGATAAACCTGATGGACCACCTGTGATTTACCAAAGCGGCTTCCGCTCGAAACTCTACACGGATAGTCGTACCGTCACCCTTGTGTTTACTGAAGTTGATCGCGACAACTGGAATGATGATACGTTCAAGTAAGATAGCCCATTTTTTATTGAATATCATTTCATTTTACAATAGTTGCTAGATAGCAGCAAGTTGATCCGTTGATTGGTACCTGCGAGTCATCGCTTTGAATTCCTCTTCCTACAGTGCCTTCATTGATTAGTAAATCGATAAGCATTTGTCATACATGCATAGCATATAAATCTAGCTAGTTTTCGTGGAGAGATTTTACGTTTCAAGTTGGTGCTTAGGCATGAAGTGTTCCGTTAATAGTTACGACAACTGCGACCCCTCGCGTTCTGGTGGGTATCGACCATTCGAAATATGCACCAGGCTCATTATGCCGCACTACCAGGTACCTCTAAAGGGCTAGAGGCAGTTGTAGGCCTGCAATGGTAATCTAAAGCTGAATGACGGTTTAGAATCGATGATTACATTTATTTTGAATAATCGGAGATGACGATCATTTCCAGAGTTACCTGCAATGAACATTATCGATGAGCTTCGAGATATTCCACTGCCTTTGATATACGACGGGGTTTCCTTGTTACAGGTAATCTAATATAATTTGATTGCGATTGTTCGTTTGTGCCTTTTACAGCTACATCATCCAAGTTTGTCCTAGATTCAGCAATTCTGACGGGTGTAAAAATCATACTGTAAGCCATTCCATGTTGGACATTGAAGATCTTTCAACGTTGACCCAATATGAGGTGACGATTTGGTCCAACAACTCGATCGGAACAGCAAACCGAACAAGCAGTATGACAATTTTTAGTCAGGCCGAAGTTCTCTCGAGCCCACAGGACATATCTGTTGTCATTAGTGAGGACAGTGCGTCGATCACGTGGCAGGTTCCAGACTCCTTGCGGCATGCAAGGGACAATGGCGAGTTGGAAACCGTCCTCTATTGGTGCAAAAGCTTCATCGAAGATGTGTGCAACGGCACCGCTTACTCGAAAGTGCTCCCCGGATCTAGGACATCAGATGTGATCAAGGTCCGTCAACCGCGCGATTACATCTATGGGCTTGGCCTAACAACGATGAAGACCGGCCATAGCTCGGGTGTTGTATGGAGCAAATGTGTCTCGCAAGCTGGCGCTTACGTTGGCTTAGTTCGCGAACTGAGAGCCGACGCAGATACTGATACGTCCATAAAGGTGCACTGGGCTAAAATGTGTAGTTCGCAAAGAAAATACATTGGCGGATACCAGGTCGAATATTGTCATATTAAGCGTGAGGATGTTAGTATGCTGGTCAATTCGAATGACGAGTGTCAACGTCACACACTGACGGCAAGCGTAAATAGCAGCGGTTTCAATTCTGGATCAACGACATCGTCATCATCATGTCAGAAGCAAAATTTCACCCTAGAAGATAATGAGGCCCAGTACACAATTGAAGGTCTAACGAAAGGCGAATCGTACCGTATCGTGGTACGTGTTATGGACAAGATGTCCGGCAGGTACACGCCGGACTCAGCCGCGGCGTGTGCAACCGCTAATGGCGGAATGAGAGTGATTATGGTTGTTGGCATCGGTGTGGGCTGTTCAGTTGGACTCGTTGTGTTTGTGATCGCGCTGTACATGTTCGGCAAGTGGATACATCGGAAAGTTGATGCAGCAAAAGAAGTCAAGGCAACCTTGCCGCCCCCATTACAAAAAGATGGCGGAGCTGGCTACAGCGACTGGGTAGCGCGCGTTAACGGTGTCAACTTAAACGGACACGGCGGCTATTTGGATCAACACAATGGAGATGTTACAATCCTTAGTGATTTTCCACGGAGGGGCTCTCATTCATGTTTGGACAAGGTAACGTCTACTGACACTATATATACCTAAATAGCAAAACAACTGATATACGCACAAAAAACATTATGTTGAGCATAAAAAAGTAGAAGAAGTTATACGGTAACACAGAAAATCATGTTAGTAGCACATGCAGCATATTTCCTATAATCTGATCCGTTTTCTCTAGCACTGATATGACACGCTTCTTTATATTCTAATGACACAACTATGTAATGCATCTATCTAATATGCGTGTGTTGTTGTCTTTTGCTGCTTTCCGTTTACGTTCTTTATCAAACTTCCAGCTCATTATTGAGAAGGCCCCAGTTGTCACCGTGGAGACGCCTGCGAAGCTTGTAAACGGTGACCCCCGGGTATCGGCGAACCTGAACAGAGAACCAATTTCCCTGGAAGAACCTCTGACGGGGGTGCTGTTCTCGTCTAACCAGGGAGTATTGCCCCGATCACAGCCCTACGATGCTTCAAATCATGATCACAGCAACAGCTCACCGATGCCGCCTTACACCCAGCTCGGGCTTAGTCATCTAGCTGCTGGCGCTAATCAAGTGAACGGCCACGGGCCACACAATCACAGTGGCATTACGGGGTACTCGCAACTATCGGTGATTAGCGACCATCCTTCCCCTGAACCGATAGCCCCTCCGGACGTTATTCCAGGCATGAACACGACAGGCCACCATGGCGGCGGCCATGATGACGACGACGATGCTAGCAGCGGATCTCTTGAAGATGACAATACAACAGACCGTTCTCCGTTGCATAGTCCACGTCGATCGCCGGCCTCGACCAGTACTGTGACGCGAGCCGGGGGCTACGTCTCCGCAGATCGGGCTATGGTGACGCCGATGCCACATACGACGTCCGCATCAGTACCAGTATCGAACGGCTACGTGCCGGTCCAACGGGCCAATCAGTGAAATTGACGGCGGGCGGAATCCACGACTAAAACCCCACCGACTCTAAAGAATCTGGTTAAAGGAGCGAGAGGCCTCGCGGCGACTGAAACATGATGCGTCTATGTCCACGTTATCTCCACTGGTAGTAACGATTGTTCGCAGTCTCGTTACAACTTCAGCCAGATCTAAGTAGCAACCCCCTAAATTCGAGTGCCGGTGAAGGCAATGGACGGTGCACAGAATGGGTCCACGCAAGACTGGACCTTTTTTCTGACGGGATAGGTGTTCCGTTTTGGTTAATCTACTGGTTAATCTACTCAGCTTCGCACCCCCCCGCCATAACAAATTTACAGCTTGACATAGACCTGTAGTGTAGTTTCCTGTGATGTAAAAGTAAATTGAGGAAGCTGTAGCCATTTTTTTCCCGCACCATTGTGCCATTGCCTGTTGATCCGGTTGTCATCGTTTTCGTTGTTGTTGTCGTCTTCGTCGTGATGATCGTCAAGCTCAATGCTAACAAGCTTTCCTCTGAAATCGCCTCAAACTAGGAACTTGCTTAGCCTTACGTTTAAGAACAAGTACCTATCAGAAATATTGCTTCTTCGAATTGCCGCCATTAAAGCATGAGTTTTCTGGCCATGCTGGTGCCGATCACTTTGCCGCGTTATTGAAACTATAAGTTGCAGCTCAAGTAGATAGAAGAGGATTGCGGAGGAATAGTGGTGGGTGCTTGATAAGCGGACACGAATGATACCTAAAAGTGCACATGTTGTGGCCGCGCTCGCGTTTATGTACGAGCTATGAAGAGGCAAGGACATATATTGGTATTAAAGACAGCCTTTGGTGACCTTAGCCGGATAACTTTGTGACGACGACGACAACAACAAAAATAAGGACATGTCAATAGCTATGTACGATAACGAATATTAGCCGTTCGACCCACATTACTGGCATCATGTCAGTAAATCGTCACGATAATTTATATGATGATATAATTTTTAGGGAACAAATAGCGCTTATTAAGCGTGATCGTAAAAAAGAAAATGCTAGAATTAAATTTCGCCGTTTCGGGGTTCTTACAGGCCCACCGGCCCCTTAGGCAATTCCAAAACCTGTGTCCACGATGGAGAGGCATAGGCGGACAGTATCAAGGAAGAAGGCTATGAAAAATGAAAAATTACGCATATACACATTTGTACCCATTTATAAAAGATTGAAGGAGCTTCGTGTGCGTTGAGTTCGGCGATTTTCGAAGAAGTTTCTCTATTTAATTGTAGAAAAATATTGTGGATATTATATCTAGTGTTCAGCGACCAGCTTTACATGTATATTGAACGTGGTGAGCGATGAGACGTTACCTGTAGAGTGGTATAAATATGTCCGTATGCTTGTGCTTTCGTATGGCTTGGCTTCGGAAAACTGCAAATCAGCATGCACGACGAGGATGGGAACAAATGCGAAACAAGCCCGACATACATACCGCTAACAGCTATATATATATATATATATATATATATATATATAGAAAAAATGCAAGCTAGCGCAATACAGTAAGAAAGGGAATGACAGAGATAAATAGAACGATCAATTTGATCATCTAATACAACGGCAGCCCTGGCTGAATAACCGCACAGGTTTGTAGAGTTACGCTAATAGGGAATTAAACTGTGTGGCCATATAGCCGATGCTGCCAATCAACGACACTGAACGATGATGATATGAAATAACTTATGAAGATGGCCGTTGATACAGACACCATTACACTCAAACGATTCAAATATATAGGCAACAAAAGAGAATAAGGCAAACGAGTAGGACAAACAACGGCAATATAGAGTAGTCAGCACGGAACACTATAGTGGTCTATTTTTAGATTACCGTTTTACTATTTACCAACATTGCGATACAGGAAGAAAGACAACATGACAAACTAAACGGGACTCAAAAGGATAGGCACGAAAAGGCAAATTCGTCCAAAGCAAATGAGTGAATGGGAGCTTTTTGAATGTGGAAAGTGGCGAAACTTTTTAGTGGCTCTACGGAGCAACAACGCATGACCTATGTTGCTTTGGTAGCGTAGAACTAGGATGGTGGTAGAGGTCAGGACGTCGAATGAAAGAAGGTGCGTGACGAAAAACTATACGGAACAAACAATCCAATGGTAGGAAAACTGGGCGACAACGACAGCTCTGTCTGCGGTTCGGCATACACCCTGGCGATTGGTATACGTACGATGGTATCTTCCTCTTGGTACCGAACGTTTCGATAGAAGGAGGCATAATTAGGAAAGTCAGGTGATTCAAAAGCTGATAGCGCAAATAGACTGGATAGGATAATCGAGTGTGTTATCTGTTGAGACGCTCTTACGCCATCGCTACGGTTGCAGCTGCTGCCACTTTTTTTACCCTATCAGAACTATTAAGACTTCTTTGATCACATTGAAGTTACACTGTTCGAGTAGATATTAGCCACCGTGAAGAACTTTGCTTCTGCTCACGGATTCACTATGTATAGCTGGGTAGCAGCAGTGAGTACTGCGTGTAATGATAATTGGCCTCTTGAAATTGCTAAAGGTCGTCTAAATATAGAACAGAGGATATCATAGTGAAAGAAACAGAACGACCGTAAATGCAACACGCACAGAACGGCGGCACGAACGAGCGTAAAAGCTAATGAGGGTCGCCTGTAAAAGAGAACGAAGTTTAACTAGGGCGGAGAAAAACATTTATTTGTCGTAGAAGAAGTAAAACAAGGGTATTTGGAAGAACGGACAATACTGAATGATGGTATAGAAGACGACGGTCTGCCTGCCTGCCTGTATATTCCACTGTAAATAAAATTGTATATATTGTTGCTGTTGAATCCAGCGTGAAAGCTGGAACAATCACTGACATGAAGCAAAATAGAGAGCGGATGTGTCAAAGAAGTTTGAGCGTTGGGAGGAACATACGCATTATTTGGCTAAAATTTATTTAGAATTACGAGCGTAAAAGTAGAAGGTAGAATGATGACGGGGATGAACCACAAGAATTACGTCAGGACATCAAAAAAGTTTGCGATGATGATGATGATGATCATGATCGTGTTTATCATTGAGGACTTCAGGCTGTAACGATGTAAAGGCATGTGCGAAAGAAGG